AAGTGACCCTTTCATTTGAAAATTCTGAACATTCTCTCTCCTATTTCCTTCTCCTCCATCGTGACATTCACCATTGTTAGGGCAAGGGAGCTTATTGAACTACAACTCCATTTTTTAGCCACTTTTAGCAAAAACTTCCAACTACAGAGTTGTTCCCCTCACTCTTGTGAGTGACTTCCATGTAGAGTGCATCTTGTGGGGAGCATTATGGAGGGAGATAATGCCCTAAAACAGTCACAAAAATTTGGGGATTTTGGGGAAATTTTGGTGACTTTTGGGTTGGTTTATTGCTTGAAGATCATTCCATTGGATCCTTGGAAGCTATTGGTGGTAAGATTTCTCACTCTCATTTAGTTTTCCATGAGCTCATGAAATGGTGAGGGTTGTTGAAGTTGTGAGTTGAATTATGGTAGTTAGGAACCTTAAATGGTATGCCTCCTTTGGAATTAAATGCTTAGAATAATAAATGATGATGATTGATGCAATAAAATTTATGGTGATTTGTAAATTTATAACTTAGGCAATTTGTGATGAGTTTCAAGACTTTATGAAATTGGTATGTGGTGTAATTGAACAATTGAAATATAAACGATTGGTATAGGTTAATAATAGGATTTTATGACTTGTGTAAGTGTTGAATTGGATTGAAAACCTTATGGGGTACTTCCTTGAAGAATTCGAACCATGTAGTGTGTGGAGGGAAAATTGAGGTGAAAAATGTATAAAATTAATGGTTGATATGTTGATGCATAGAATGTGGGATTGGTGAGTTTGTTTGATGACTAAATGAGTTAAGGTAGTTGAATTAAATGGGAAAGGACCATTAGGCCTAAGTGGCTATAATTAGTTAAAATTCTTGTGAGTTTGATTAATTGTTTGCAAATTGTTTGATGGTCATTGTGTTTGATCATATAGGTTGCCTCTCACGGACGCAATTGTGGAGGATTGAATTTGGAGCTTACGTGTGGAGCAATGCTCTTGGATTAGAGGTAAACCTTTGGAACTTGGGTTTAGTCCCTTGTGTGCTCCACCACATCTAGTGGAAGGTTGTGGTTGGATTTTGTGCTTTTGGCATTGTGTGAATATGTATGTTCATGCATTATTTCCTTATTGTTTGACGTGCTTGGAGCATGTTGTGTGTGAAATTTTGTGATCTCTGGACAGTAGATGTGTGTTGGTTTGGACTTCTGCTAGAGATATCCTTTGGGGATTCCGGTCAAGTTTTGTCGTAGGGTCGACTCTGGGAGCGGTAACAGGATGATCCAAACGTGGGACTTCCGCTGGATAGGGCTCATGAGGAGTTCTAGTTGGGTTTTGCCATGGGGCCGTCTCATCCATGGGAGAGGCACCAGGAAGCTTCCCGGGAGTTATATGATGGGGCCTTGAACGGAATCCTTATGTGGATGTTCAGTTAGTATATAGGTGTCCTAAAGACAATCTATTTTATCAGAAGAACACCTTTTCTATTTAGTATTTCATGATTATTAAATTTGAGCAAACTTTATCTTTATCATATTTATGTCTCGCCAATATTTAATTGTAAATATACGTTTAAAGATAAAGACCCTAGGTATAGAACAGGTGTACACTCGAGGATCTATGATAGCGATCATGATCATGAGGACTCGAGGACACTGAATGTTTATTACCTAAAACTAGCACGACATCATCTACTTGTATGAAGATACAAGGTAGGGACCTCATGGAATGCAGGCATGGTGATGCCTTAGCTGATGTCGTGGGTGGATCTGTTGGAGAACATATAACCCTGAACTGACCCCCTAGAGACTCCACAAGGATTCATTATGGAGAATATCATTGGATTTGTAAAGTCTCTAAACGTTTGGTAGTGTGGATCGTCCTAGACTTAAGGATGTCATCGAATACTATGTCCTAGAGTTATACTTTGACTGTACAACTCTATTCGCCTGAAAATGGGGAGAACAGTGTACTCCTTGGTATAACTCGAATACATGAGTATAGATGGACATGCCGAAAGGACTCACAATCCCCTATAAGGGATTAGTCGTTCACAAAGACCAGTAGGGCTGAGATGACTTCTAGTTGACTCGGGAATATATGCATAGTAAGAGATCATGAAGAGTCATGATCTGTCTTAGAGTCAATAGAAGAAGATTCCTAGTTCCTGTGAAATATTATATTTAGTAAAATAAAGAGAGATGATACTCTATCCTTGCTCTCGACTAAATGTGACTGACGATGTGAGGGATAATGCTGGCACAGTATCCAAATCAGAAAGGTAGATCACTTGATCAACTCAATTAGTTCTGGGGCTACAGAGCATTGCTAGTGTATCATGTAGTCATTAAATGGATTGGGCCTTTTTAAAGGAGTTTAACTGGTTCAAGTTTATTTATGTCAGTAACTAATTGGGCCTAATGGGTCACACACAAAGGTTATTCCTTATTGCAAGTTATAGCAAGTTTGGACCAAAAATAAGTTATTGGACTTTGTCAAGACTATGAGTCAAGTTGGGTTGGAGTAGGGACTCCAAGCCCACTTGATCCATGCGCCTTTTTGGGTCATTAGTGGTGAAAAAGTTTTCTCCACTAATGGGCCCAAATATGATGGTAGGCCAAAGAGGCCTCAGGGCATGAATCCTAGTAAGTCAAAGAGTTGACTTGACCAAAATAAGGTTTGGGCAAATTTGAAATTTGAATTTTTGATGTTTGAAATTTGAAATTGGATTTCGAATTCGAATTACGAACTGGGATAAGATGGAATTTATATTTGAATTTAAATTTCAAATTGGAATTTGAAATTTTAATTTGAATTTGAATTTTAAATTCTATGAGGTTAGGTTGTTGAGGATAATTTAAAATTATTTAAAAGAATTATCCAATAGAGATTGGATGGAGATTCTCTCAACTGCTTTTTCATTTGAATTTAGAATTCAAATTAATACTGTTGCAACAAAATTTCTGAGGGAAGATGAGGAAGAGGGGCGCCTATGTGGAGAGAGAAATCTTGGCTGGATTCTGTATCAGATTTCATGGAACAAATGGATATGATCCATACTTGAATTTTGAATTCAAGTCATGAAGCTTCCAAAGGCTCTCAAGTATGAAGCTTCCGACCTTTCTTCTTCTTTCTCCTTTTTGCACCATCACTTAGCCTCAAGACACCATTACAGTCTTGAGAAAGATAATCCAAACACTTGGTAGCCTCTTCCTTGCATGCGCCTAGCCAGCCACCGAGGATAAGGAGGGATCAAGGAGAAAGAGTTCTCGCTAGCAAGAAGGAGATAACTGTGTGGATCACCGTTGGAGGGCGTCATCCTTTTGCGCCTACAAGTGATAAAGGTAATTGTGAAACCCCATATTGTTTCAACGTAAAGCATTCATACATGGGGTGTATAGATGGTCTATGCTTCCGCTGCGAACATTTTTGTTTTTCCACCCTTGTATGCGCTCCATAGTATGACTATGGTGCAGTTTTCGAACCTTCATGTTCTTGGTTTTGTGCCAGTTGTTTGTGATTTTGTATGCATGTGCATTTTTACATGATGTTATTGTTGCACATTGAGTGAGCCATGGGGTGGAGTAATCCTCTAGTACCCTTGGTTTACTGAGATATATTTGTATATCTCACCCCGCATTTGGGGACATCATTTCAGGCTATAGTGAGCATGGAGGAGCTCCGGGAAAGAGGCCCGCTTAGTGGAGGATTCTAGCATGAGGTGCATATGGATAGCATGATATTTTGGAGGAGTTTATTTTATTCATATAGTATGACATTTAACATTTTGGACTTAGATCATGAACATATTGCATGTTGAGATTTCCATGCTTTTGTGGTGTTCATGACTAGATTCCAAGTCTATGTAGTTGATGTACGTTTATGCTTCTTGTTATATTTGTATTTTGAGTGAGCATGGGACTTGTTCATGGCCACATATTTTGTATTTTGGAGGCATTGTAAGATTTGTGTTGTAAATAGACCATTTGATGTGTAAAATGGCTATGATATTAGGAATTATTGTAATTGATGCATTACCTAATGAATATGCATGATGGAAGGGCCTAGAGCCTACATTAGTACTTGTATGAGTTGTATGTTGAGTATCAAAGTGTTAGGGATAGAAAACATAACCTTTTTTGCAAAGAAAAAGCTATCATCTGTCATTTTCACAGTGTGGTAATCGATTACTTTTCCTTGGTAATCGATTACCTGAAACAGGGGACGCAAAGATTGAGCCACTATGATCAAAGTAATCGATTACCTTTGCATAAGTAATCAGTTACCTAGTTCAGTAATCAATTACCTATGTCAAGGTAATAGATTACTAAAAATAGGGGAGCTCAAAGTTGGCTACTGCCTCATTCAGGAACCTTTGGTAATCGATTACCACTGTGTTAAATTTTGAAAATGTGTCTTCAAAAATCTAAAATAAATGGTATTGCTTGGAGAGATTATATTTAGTATGTTTTATGCTTCCGCGAGTCTTGCATTTACAATTATGGGGTTGTTTTAATTATTTGCAAAAATGGTTAATGTTCAAAGTTAAGGATTTAATAAAAGAAAAAGCTTACCCGTAATTTAATTAACTCAATTACTGTGATTGTAACTGTGCTTAATACCATATGCAATCATAACATTACCGATACGTAACGGGCTGTTACACATAAGGTCCTCATCATAACCTCTAATTTAAATAAAGGAAGAATGTTATATTTACAACCACCTCTTTCCTTTACAACTACTTTTATTGTTATTGGATCAAAATCAAATTAACAGCTCTCACTTAATATTATTTTGTAACTACTGATTTGATTTTGATCAAAAGTCATTAAAAGACTAAAAATGGTTGTAAATATCTTCTCTCTCTAAATAAACATATATTTTCACGCAATATATATTAATATCTTTGTTGTAAAAGGATGAGGGTAATAAAGTAATTGTAAGAGGAAAACTATCATTATTAAATGGCATAGAAATAACCCTAAAATCAAAAGATTCTCACTTTCCATGTTGGTGCGCCGCACAGACAGTTCTTCACTTCTTTTTTATCGATCCATTTCATCCTTCTTTAATTATAAATCACATTTGCCAATCGAAGACGTCTTGCATCTCGCTTCTTTCCATTCATCCGCTATACTTTAGATTGGTTCAATTGCAATGTTCAAAAATCAAGTATTATACAGTGAATGGTAATATTCCCAACTCCATAGCTTATTTGTTCTAAATACCATAGATTCTCTATTTCACATGACATATAATGAAACTCCTTTTTCTAGCTATATATGTGTACATCTTAGCATGCATAAATTTGTGATTTTGGGATAATCCAAAATTTAATTTTTTTTCCCTAAAATAAAAATCCAAAAACCAAATACCCAATAAAACTATGAATTGTGATATGTACGAGGCAAGTTTTGATATGAATATGATGTAATGAAACTCCTTTTATCGCCTCATAATTTCTTTAACCTCTTTTTTCCTTATAAGAATTATTGCAAGTTCAATGGAATAAGAGCTTAGTGTGGTGGTGACAGGTTCAATGGGATAAGAGCCTAACAATGTTAATGTCATAAGGCAAGATCAATGATGCAAGAGTCTAACAAACCTAGTGCGGTGGAGAAGTTTGTGTTAGTAGACATACAACCTCAAAATGATACTGCGGACAAGGATCAATTAGTAAGTGAATCTAATTATCTGAAGGGGGCTTGGCTCCCAAACATTTGGGACTAATGGAGATTGTCCATGTAACTTATAAATGGTCTTTGCTCATAGGATGAGGAAAAAAGAGGAAGAAAGCCAAGTACTAAATTTGTTGAGACCAGGAACTTATCGTTGAGGGCAGAGATTGTGGACTTTGCACCAAACAAAGTAATGCTTTTAATTCTTGAAATTATCCGTCTACTAGTTTATGAGTGAGTGAAAATTCAGATGTGGCAGTGTAAAGTAGATTTCATTATATCAATAATTAGGATCAATATACAGTAATAGAGTTTCTTATTTTTGCCAAAAAAATCATATCACTATAACTTATATGATGATCTTTGCTCTTAGGCTTAGAAAAAAGGAAAAAAGCTAAGTAATAATCTTTTTGGGGGGAAATATCATTTCAATTTGAACTTCTAGAAATTTTTTTATGCTTTTTAATTGTCTATGTGTTTGCGCAATATATACAATTTGTATCTCGAAATCAAAGATTAGATAATAAAAAACCAAGTGATTTTTGCCTATTTTCCCATGGATCTAGGTTCCTAACTACAAAGTTAGAATCTATATCATGTAATTGTTATTGTGATCTTCTATTTCAAGTTTTCGTTGATTATTTTCCATGTTTGTAAGACGCTAGCAATCTGCATCTCTTGTCCAGATTGTGTTCCTGCTAAGAAATATGGTAGATTCAATGGATCTACTTGACCTAGTTTCTAAACCCCTAAAAGATCAAATGTCAATGAGTCTAATTGTCTGCATATAATTGTTCGTAAGACTATATAGTTAAAAACTTCACACAGGTAAGTGTATTAACAATCTTGTCTGTCTTTGAGATCAGGAATTTATCAAAGAAATACAAGAATTAGCAAATGCAAAAGATACTCCTCAACATGCATTAGCTATTATCCCCATAATAGAGGATGCTGATGTTGCACTGATGTTGAACCAAATAAAGTAATGCTTTTGATTCTTGAAATTCTCCTTCTATTAGTTTTTGAGTGAGTGAAATTTATGTTGTGGCAGTGTAAAATATGTTTCCTTATATCAATCATTAGGTTACACTAACAGAGTTTCTTATTCTTGTCTTAAAATTATATAATTATAAGTTATATGATGGTCTTTACTTTTAGGCTAAGCAAAAAAGAGGAAGAAAGCCAAGTAATAAGTTGGTTGGGGAAATTTCATTTCAATTTCAACTTCCAAAAGTTTTTAATAAAAATAACATTGACTTAGACAAGGTAAGGAGCTAGTTTTTGAACAATTTGAAATTGCTTTATGTGTTTGCATTCATGTTACTTGAAATGCAACAATTCAAATGTAATTTATAATATAAGAAATATATTTTTGAACAATATATTATGGAAAATTTGCAACAGGTACAATCAATCAAATATGGAAATTATGCACGCGAATTTTCAATGAATCAAAGACTACAACATTGGAACATGCAACAAAGGGAACGACATAACGGGATGCGAGATGTTGTAAGATAAGCCTACAAATTATTTTAATGCATAATAAGATTATCTTTCCATTAGATTTTGTATTCCAACTTATGATAAATACATGCCATTTTGAAGAATAAATTATATAGCTAGTTTGTTTATAATTAATAATTTTTGTTGCAAATCATATCTTCACAAAAATTTAAATATGCTAGCTTACATTGACAACTAACATATATAATTGCTTGTGCAGTATTTTCATCACTTAACATTGCAATAGAAATTTCGATCAAAGCAAGAAGTAATCCAGTTTGTTCTTTGGGAAACTTATCCTCCCAAACATGAAAATAAGACAAGAAAGACAGTTGAAGCTGGAATAGATAACCAGGTATGTATCATTCAAATAATGAAACATTATATATGTTCTACATTACAATAATGTTTTTATGACTGATCTAGTTTCCACGTGGGGTTCAGATTTAACATGCACTCCTTAAAACAACAGGAGAGAAAGATCTTCTCACCCACACAAGATTGAAGCAGAGAATAAGTTGATGGATGATCAAATGGTCAAGGAATCCTCAAAATTAGGAGAAATGTAAATGGAATAGATCTTAGTTGTAACGAAGATGCTCGATGAGACTAATGAGAATCATCAGTTTTTTTGTTTTAATTCGTTCTTTGATGTTTTCTTGAAAAAGGTTGCCATAAACATTGAATATCTTATATTCTCCCTTCTAATTTTGATTCCGCTACATTGCATCTGAATTAATGTTATTAGAATTGTTTTAATTCTATTTTGTGTTGTGAAAAAGGTTCATATTATGCAAATTTCGTTTTAGTTGAAGTTGTGTTGAAAATTGTTAAATTTTGAATTGTTTCTTGAATTAGAAGTAACACACAATTCACCCTCTTATGTGATTGTTTAGCTATTTTTTCTTTTCAATTGGCCTCAGATCTTAGGTTCTCTTGTTATAGGATTAATCACCTAGAGATAAAGGTCCATAATATGGCTAGTTTTAACAATGATTTGCCTCAACAAGGTAGTTCAACTAATAGGTCACCTTTCTTTATTGGAACGAATTATCCTTATTAGAAGTCTAGGATGCAAATCTTCTTAGAATTTATAGATTTAAGAGCTTAGACAACAGTAGAAGATGGATATGAATTTCGTACCATTACAAAAGGTCAACGTCAAACGGTTTCTAAAAACGTTAAGGATTTTAGTGATGTTGAACTTAGAAAAGCTCAATGGAATGCTAATGCTAAAAATTTAATTACAAATGCTCTAGTTAGAGATGAATACTTTAGGATCTCATATAGTAAATATGCTAAAGAAATGTGGAAAGTGTTAGAGACCACACATGAAGGAACAAATGAGGTTAAGAGATCTAAACAAAATGCACTCACTATTGAATGCCTTAGGTATACATTACAATGATGGCAAATGATCAACAAAATTCTAAGATGCATGGCCAAAGAATGGGATGCCAAAGATCTTGATACAATGCAAATTGCTACACTTTTTTGAGAGCTTCAAGAATATGAATTTGAAATGAAAAGGCATAAAATAATTTTTGAGGAAATATAATCAAAGTAGAGGATATCAACTACATTGTACTCATGATTCTTTCAACTTAGACCAAATAGAACTGACTGGGAACATAGCCTTAGGACCACGAAAGTTTCCAACTTTGAGAGATACAGAAAATGGGTTTCATGTTAGCTGAGAGATAGAGAGCACTAAGATAGGGCCAAATTTTAACATTAGATAAGACCAAATTATAATTAATGTTCCCTTTCTTTCTTTCTCTCTTTGCTTCTCTTTTTCTCTCTCTTTGATCCATTCTTTTTCCAGTGAATCCAGTGTTCATCATCTTTTTCTAGATACCGTCTCCTTGTAAGTTTTCGGACGTATTTTTCATTCTTATACCGTATTTTCGTTGTTACTGGATCTTTCTTTGCCCGAACGGACGTCCAAACACCATTACCGTCGTTGTCCACCACTGTCCTATGGCCTTTTCCGGCGAGCCACTACCGTCTGCTAATGTTCCTCTCGTCTCTTGTTATTTTACATGGTATCTAGAGTCTAACGTCTAACGAGAGGAATCCTTGTCCGCCTTTTCTTACTCTTTTTCATAATTTTAATATGGTAGTAGAGAGATACCACTCACCATGAGAGATTGACTTTCCTAATTTTTCCCTTTCTCTTTTTCTCTCTCTGGCTCTCTTAGTTTCTTCTTCTTGCTCTTATCTTCCCTTGAAGACCCAACCACCATAAACAACTAGCACTGGCCAGAACCATCTCTGCCTCTGCTCAACAGCCGTTCTCGTCGTCCCTGTTCATTTGGTCACCGCCACAGTCCATCGCCAGAATTTTGCCCAACGACTTTTCGGCCACCAACAACCACCGTTCGGATCGTCTTACCCGTGCGCTCACTGTCGTTCAAGCTGCATCTCTTTCCTCCAGCCACATCATCTTTTCTTCTCTGGCTGAATCTTGTTTCTTCCGGCTGCGTTTTCTTCTTCTTTGGTGATTTATTGTTTTTATTTTGATTGTTTTTTATAGCTTGTATTTGGCCTATTTTATTTTATTCCCACATATGTTTGTGATGTTATTCAAGTATGATTTGGCTTCTATTTGAAATTTTTTTGCCATTGTTTAGCTTTATTTTGGCCTCCCATTCAGGGGGAATATTTATCTCCGTTGTTGCCTGGTTCGCAGATTATTCTAGTTACACTGGCTCCGTTAGCTTGTATTCAAGTTGCAACATTGTCTTTTCCCAGCCCTTCCTTGGCTGATGTCTTTCTCATTTATTGCTTGGTCCGCAGATTGTTCTAGTTAAAGTGGCTCCGTCGGTTTATATCCCAGTTGTAGCGATGTTTTTTCAGCCCTTTTGGCTGATGTCTTTCCCACCTTTAGGTTGATGTCTTTGCAAGCTCTTCAGACTGATTTTCATTCCAGTTAATTTGCTATCAATTTCTCCGGCTTATGTTCCGTAAAGCTTCATTTTAGTCTTCTTTCTTTCCAAGATGGAGTGATATGATCTTTATCCTCCATCTTGAGGAGGAGTATTCGAGATATAGATGATATTTTATTATTGTTTATTATATTTGTTATTTTTCTTTAAGGTGAGTTATAGAGTTGTTACAACCCCCACTCGTTTATTTTATGTTTCTTAGTCTTTCTTGTTCAAGCTTTTTTGTTTATGATCTATATGCTCCAGCTTGAGGGGGAGTGTGAGAAAGAATATCTTTAGGATATCTTTATTATTTATAAAGATCTATTTCCTTATTTTATTAGAATTTATGTTAAGTATGAGTTAAGCTCATTAGTATTTCTTTATATATTATACTCTTCTGAATCAATTCAATATACTGATTTATTCTAACTCCTCTCATCTCTTGTTATTTTACAAAAGTAAAAAAAAAAAAAAATTAAAAGTTAGCCTCGGGCCCTACCTACCTACAAGGTAGCTACATCACTGGGAATGAGATATTTACAGTGGGGACTGGGGAGGGAGATTCCTTGAGCGTGGTGAGGGTGAGTCAAAATCCCTTATGCCCTCTTGCCTCCACTAGGATATAGAGATATGCACGAGGGAGAGTGAGGAAAAATCCGGCATAGATATGACCTTAGTAGTGTTTGGTTGAAGGTTTATTTTAGGATTGACGGGAAAGTGTAGGTGGATATTGAAAAATACCACGTTTGGTTCAGGTTTTTTCAAGAAATACCAGACAAATAGGATAGATGGGAAAATGACTTTTGTGTTGATTTTTGGATGAAATTCACTGTTACAGAATACCACTTGAGATGTGGTATTGTGAGATGACTAGGGAAGTGAAAAAACAGGTGCAAAGTTTTTCCCGAACATAGATTTTGCATATTTAAATAAATTTCCCTGGTAATATTTGGGTCAACCAAACAACTTTTTTTACATTTTTCTATCAAACTCACTTTCCAACCATTTTCCTATCAATTACACTTCTCTAGTAAAAAAATATTTCTCCCGAACCAAACACTACCTTAAATCTTTCAGTAGGGGCGGTAAATTGTGCCACCTGAATAAGCCCATTATGCTTGTCCAAAAAATATATATATTTTTTATAAAATTTTGTACTTATAGTTCATTTTTCTTTAATATTTTTGTTTTTAATATTAATTATAAATAAAAAATACATATAAAGAAACACATAATGCTCATAAAAACGCTTAAGATTGATTAAAAAAAAAAAACAGCGACAACAACTTATGATGGTGGAGACCGTTACGTGCTGCAACTATGAAAACCTGGGCACAATCCTACTCTCCCATTATCCTATCCTTCTTATGAGATCAACTGATAAAGTGTGTTGATCCTAAATATTCTACTTACTAAAGAAATATCTTGTGCCAGGTTCTTTCTTACGAGGAACAAACTCTTCAGTGTGAGAAATTCTCAACCATTAGCTCCATCTTCATCGTAAGTGTGACGGAAGAATGTTAGAGCATCTGAGTCATACTGCTGAGGTGCTCAATGCCGATGTGTAAATAATAGTGGTTAGATTAAATTGTTAGTTTAAGGTTCTAGTCAAGACTTAGTTACAATAGTAGATACTATTGACTCGTTTTATATCAATCACTTTGTTTATGATATTTTCTCTGAGATCATTCTCTTTCATTCTGTTGTCTCTAATAATATGTTTTATTTTAATCGAAAGTATTTTATTGAAGAAATGAGATATTTCAGACAATGAAATAAAATAGAATTACAAAATACTATATAAATTTTATTTTAGTTAACGATATTTTACTAAGAAAAACAAGATTGAAAATAGTAAAACGAGATAGAATATTTGAGTCCAATTGCAAAAAAATACTAATCATAAAAATTAAATTTTATTGAAGTTCAGGTCGTATATATAGTTTAGAAATCGATTGTCATAATTGAAATGAAAAAAAAATTGAATTTATCAATTTTCATGTTTGGAAGATATAAAAGAAGAACTACTTCAAAATTATAATTTCACTTTATTATTACTAAAATAGCTTAAGTGATTAAATTAAGGGAAAAGTGTTTGTCATTTTAAATGACATAAAGTTATGTCATTTTAGGAGAGAGATAGACACAAAATATCATTTTTTTATTTAAAATTTAAATTAAAAAAAACCACTCACTTTCTTCTCATGATTTTCGTTTTTTGTGTCTATCTCTCTCCCAAAATGACATAAGTCATCTAAAATGACAAACACCAAACCCTTAAACTATTAAACTAATAAGAATAAAAAAATTTGTTTACCAAAAGATAATAATAATAAAAAATAATAATTTTTTTTATTTCAACAATCTAAATTGAAATTAAAATTAAATCTATTGAATTTCCTCACCTAAAAAAGAACTATTAAATTTCTATTTACACATCAGTAAAATAAAAAGAGAATTCCAAATCAAATTTAAAACACTTGATTCCAATCGTATCCTATCTTAAAACTAATAATATTTTTCGCCACAAACAAAAAATAATATTTTTTATTAAAGTAAAATTTAGTTGAGATTTTCTAAAGAGGAATAGATACAGTAGTCATAAAGTAGGTTTAATATAGTAAGGATCAGTGTATTTTTTTTTTATGTTTATTCTATTTACTCATTTTTAACATTGTTAAATTAAAATCTCAATTAATTTTTATTCTTTCTCTCTCCTTTTAATATTATGATATAATAATACTAAAAATAAAATAGATATCCATACAAAGATAAAAATAAATATAACCATTGGACCAACATGATCAATTTAATGATAAGATTAATTAATAATAACTTAATAATAACACAACTTAATTATTACAATATCTTTTCCGCGAATAGCTAATAATAATTTTTCTTTGGGCTAATAAATTTAAAACCTATTGTTGGGTATGCACAGTATAACCATAGTTTTGGGGCTGTTGGGTTGAAAGCCCGACCCCAACCCCAACCCCAACCCCAACCCACATTGACTCCAACACAAAAACCCTAGCTGCTGTCACATGCTTTTCTTGTGCCTCTTGAGCTAAAAGACTTGAACACACAACACAATAGGGTTTCAGAGTTATTGGTAGATAGAGAAAAATGGTGTCGGGGTCAGGGATTTGCGCGAAGAGGGTGGTGGTGGACGCTCGCCACCACATGCTTGGTCGTTTGGCGTCGATCGTTGCGAAGGAACTCCTCAACGGCCAGAAGGTGGTGGTCGTAAGGTGCGAGGAGATATGTATCTCCGGCGGCCTCGTAAGGCAGAAGATGAAGTACATGCGGTTCCTTCGCAAGCGCATGAACACCAAACCCTCTCACGGTCCCATTCACTTTCGTGCCCCCGCTAAGATCTTCTGGCGCACCGTTCGTGGGTCAGTCAAAAATGAATTTAGTTGTTTTTTTATTTTTCGGAGATTTTGAGGTTTTAGGGTTCTTGTTTTCGGAGATTTTGAGGTTGCTGGGTTGTTGTTTTATTGATCTGAAATTGTGGGTTTAGTTTCGTTTCTGATTTCGTTGCTTTTTTTTTATTTCCGTTTGGTTGTTTGCACATTACATTCTTGAACTATTGTTTTTTGGTTAAACGAATCGTTTTGAATACTAAAGTTTTCTTCTTTTTTTAAATTCCATTTTTATTGATTATGTTAAACTCTGCGTTTGTTTCCGAGTATATAATGGTAATGGGATGTGTTTATATTTTCAATGTTGAGTAGCTGCTGTCCTTAATTTATTTTTTAACCTAAGAATGTCTGGATTTTGTGCAAGATCTTAAATTGAAAGGTTTATGAGAAATGGTGTAAACAATTTGATGCACGTAGGATGGTTATATGAAATTATTTTTGTATAAGAAATTGTGTTTGCAATTTGGTTGATATCTGTTGGTTACGTGGATCTAGGAAATGATGAATTCTTTTAAAATAAGAATGTCTCTGTTTATATAATGAAATTATCGACTTGCATTGAAAAGGGTTAGTGTTACATTCTTGTATGAAGTTTCTGAAAAATGTTTCTATTTGTAGAATGATGCCACATAAGACCAAGCGAGGGGAAGCTGCTCTTGATAGATTGAAGGTTGTGGAGGGAATCCCTCCTCCATATGACAAGATAAAGAGGATGGTTGTCCCTGATGCTCTCAAGTAAGTTTACCTTTTTGAACTGTTTATCATAGTAATTTTGTAATGCAATTTTTTAATCTATAGTTTTAGAAATTTCAATTTTTTGTTTGAATGAATACTAATCTAGTCAATGAAATCAGGGTGTTGAGGCTTCAAAAGGGACACAAACATTGCTTGCTCGGCAAATTGTCATCTGAGGTTGGATGGAACTACTATGATACCATCAGGGTGAGTTCTCATTCCTTTCGGGCTTCTGACACTTTGGAACTTCCCTCGATTGCATGGTGTAAATATTGGTGTTTTGCTTAAGTTTCTAATTGTTCTGTTGCTAACAGGAGCTTGAAAAGAAGAGAAAGGAAAGAGCGCAATTGGCTTATGAGACAAAGAAGCAGCTCAACAAATTAAGGGTGAAAGCTGAGAAAATTGCAGATGAGAAACTTGGCTCCCAACTTGAAGTTCTTGCTCCTGTCAAGTACTGAGTAGTCTTTGCTATTTAGTGTGTTAAAGTTTTGTTTCAAGATATACGAAATTGAACTCCATTTCAGTTTTGCTGGTTGTTCTCTGTGTTATTTTGTTGGAAGTTTTTATTTGTTTGCTCTATAAAATATTTGTTATACATATATTCCAGCTTATTATATTTTTTATTTCTGTGATGCCCCTTTGGCCTAAACGCCTAATATCAAGCTTTAATATGAAAATCTTTGTTTTATTTGTTTTAACGATGATGGCAAAAAGGGAACTTTAAACCGAAAGGGCTATCTCGGATACTTTGCCCTCAATGTTATGCTCAAGGCAACTTTGTTTTCTAGGCTTGGTTCTGTAATACGGTTACGTACTCAGATATAATACTGCTTGAATCTTCTGGCCTTGCCTTATTCAGGTTTCGAGATAATTCATTCCGGTTATGTTTTGGTGTCCGAAGAGGAAACTCACAAAATTGGAACAATTATTCATTGCGATACGACTTGGAAACAGTGTTTAAAAGTCTGACCCGGCAATTGACCCGATCAGGGATCACGGGGTCATGGGTTCAATTAGGGGGTCATTGGGTTATTTCGTTGATTGTTGGGTAGTAATTTTCGAAAGAAAGAGTTATCGTTCTCAGGGAACGGTTTGTTCAGTTTTCCCTTTTTAATTTCTATTTCTAATTTCTTGAAATTAAGTAATCAATTTTTTAAAACTAAGAAAAGACTAAATGAAACAAGGTATTTATCAAATTTGTATTAAACAAAATTTAACAGAGGAATATCTAATCACAAATGTAACAATTATAAGGTTCTGGAATTCTTGAATCATGGATGAAGGAAAAATTTCACATTCCTGCGTTTGATAACTGCTACGGCACTTTAAGATCAGAATTCGAACTACTATGGCTATTTTAGCTGAAACTTCCCAGTTCCAGATTTTAATCTTTAGAAGGATCTTTTCCCAAAGTCTTCTAAATCTTTAAAAATTGTATCAAAGACCTCCTTGGGTTATCTCTAACCTCAAGGGTTCAATTAACAAGAGACATAACCTGATTTCTCAATCATAGTTATGCAAAAATATTCCAAGATCCATTCCCATGGTGTTCTTGGACTTAAAATCAAAATCTTGCTAATCAAATGAAACTAAAGCAAGCCATCACAGTATTCAGAAAAATAAAGATCACCCAATCATCGTGAATCCCAGAAAAGAAAAGATTAGAAACTCATATTCAAAATTATTGCAAATCTAAAAGTAAAGAAACAAGCATTACAAACATTCATTAAAGAAAACTCAAGTCAAGTTACAAACCGGTTCTTCAAGAGTCAAAGATCCTAAACTAGAGCTAGGAAGAAAACGTGCAGAAGTGTGAAAACAGTAGCTCGTATGCAGATCTGTGGTTCCTTTCCTTGAAGGTGCGTTGTCAATGCACTTCGAGTACAAGAATTGAAGAATTAGCATCCAGTTTTCAAGGAATTTCTCAACACTCAGATTCAAAGAACGAAATTACAAAGATTCAAAACTAAAACTGAAACTAAAGAACGGTATCTGACCCTAATGACTCAGACTCCTATTTAACTAAAAACTAAAAAGCTGCCTCAAAATGCATTGCTGTCCATCCATCTCTTTGTCCATCCAATGGTTCAGATTTGATCTTGCTTTCAAACTGCAGTAAAAATAATAAAAGAGAATAGTAAATCATCAAATTACCTTTTTCTCTCTTTTTTTTTACCTTTGGGCTGATTGGCACTCATTTGGCCCATTACCATGCACTAATATCCAGCCTTCAACTCAAATATTATAAAAACTAAGCCATTAAAAATAATCATAATTTATAGCTAACACTGATTCAATTTTATAAAAACTTCATTATGCATGAATGCTTTCAACCTACACTACCATTTAGAAACTTGAAGTCCAATATGCTATCTCCATCAAAGGGTCTTAAAGGCTTGTAATGAGGCAGGGCTAGGATCTTTGTTTTTCTAGTCACTTGGCTAATTAAGCTAACCCTTAGTGTCTAACTAGTCCTCATTAGCTCTTTCTGATTTTTGCCTAAACAAGACAAAGGGAAATTAGTAACTCTCTTCCCCCTTTTTTACAAAGATTCAAGCTCAGAGATCTCCTTTCTTTTTTCTTCTTTTTCTTCTTTTTTTTACAAAAAAAAACAGAATAGAGAACTCTTTTTATACAATCACTGTTTCCCCTTTTTTTTCTCGACTTTCTTTTACCTCCTGATCCCCTTTCTTTTTCTCTTTTTCTAATCTTTTTTTCTTCTTCTTTACAACCAATTCCCCTTTGCCTCATTTAGCTTATTGTATTTCTGAGCTAATGAGAAATAGCTAAATACTAAAATAGCTATATAGGGTGGACAAGGAAATTGGCTCATAATATCAGGATACATGATCAGAAAAGAAAGGCCTCAGGCTCAAATATAAGGACCAAGGGATATATCAAAGGGTAAGGCTTTTGGCTCTAGGCTAAACATTCAGAAACAATGCCTCAATCACACAGAAATAGCATATTAGTCATCCAAACAGAGTGCAGCATTCAAAACACAAATACACAATGACCACTCTCAAAGGAATAGAGTGTTTAGGTACAAATATCTCACATGGGTTATTAATCCAGTGGTTTTTCAGTGAATCATCAAATTAAGGATCACAAAAAATTATGGCATGTTAATTTGATTTGCAGCTTATATAACTACTTATCAACTAAGCATAGATCCTTAATTGACTAGGAATTAATTTAATTAAAACTGGCTATACTTAATCAGTGATAATGTTAAACACATCATGCTATAAATTATTTCCATGTTACCACTCAAATAATTCAGCATACGAAACATATATTGTTATTCAATTTTATGGACCAATCAGCAAAGTAATGGTATGTAATTACAGCAAATATAATCACCCCAAACTTAAAATTAAGCTGGGTCCTCACAGCAGAACAGATATACAGAAAAAACAATAAATGGAAAAATGAATAAATAAATACTTAACAAAATAAAATAAATAAAGAACCTGGGTACCAACAAGAGATGTCAGCTTGCAGAAAAGGTGTCATCCAGATCAACCAACTCATCTGAATTTTGTGCAGCAGCTTGAGAAGTTCCTTCATGGAAGTGACCTGGAAACAAATGTTCTGGAAGCTCAGGGAAGTCTTCTTCAGGAAAAGTCTCTTGGTACGAAGCTGCACAACATTGTCTCGTATTTTTTATGTACGTGAGGAGACCTTTGATGACATTTTCCAGCTTATCAATGCGCTCCTCCATGGCTGAAACCTTTCCTTTAGCTTTCCCTTGAGTAGGCGGAGCTGAAGATGTTCCTTGTGTAGGCGGAGCTGAAGATGTTCCTTGTGTAGGCGGAGCTGAAGATGTTTTTCTCTTCTTCCGTAGGCTAGCCTCAGCGATCCTCTTCAAGCATATCTCATTTATGGGAGAGTTAGGGATAGAGACCAGTGCTCCATCTTGGGAAGAAGAAGGCACTCCAGCAGCATCACATAATAACTTCACCAAGCAAGGGAAGTAGAACGGTCCAGATGTCCTCTTTGAATTCTCACACAACTCTTGATGCATGAGTCGCTCCGGGTGAAAAGGCAGACCTTGAAGAATGCAATACACCACTACACCAACCTTAGTTGATAAGTGATTCATGTGGAGCTTGGGAAAAATGCGGTGTCGAACAAATTTCGCCCAAACTTGAGCTTCCTTTGTCAGATCCGTGGTCAGCATTTTTTCAGAATCCCATTGGGTCGAGCCATCCCCAGTGAGCGTTCGTGCCATTAGAGAATAAACCTCAGTTTGAGTTCTATCGGAGAGAAGCTTCAAGAACCAGTTGTATTCTGAAAATTTGAGGTTGTACACCTCCAGAATTTTTGCTGGAGAGATGTCACCAATTTTCCTCTAACTGGGACTGCATGTGGTGCCTCCTCATCCGGAAAGCTGGCCATAAAATCGTGAACCAACTTTATTGGCACCTGAACAGATGGATGATCAGCAAAGACTTCCCATTTCCATGGCGTGACGTGTTGCCAGACAAAAAGTTCCATATATGCTCCTCTTTTATCTGATAGGTCGAATCCTCTCTCATAATGAATTTTTAACTTGGATTGAGCCAGCTCCTTGAGACGTTGAGAAACTCTTTCGGAGACTGGAGGGTCAGAAGAAGAAGACCCAGCTGTTGATGACCTTCGAGTTGCTGGTATGTGAACTGCCTTACCTTTGACTGCTCCATGCTTGATTTTGGTATTCTTGTTTGGTGCCATTGTTCACTGAAAAATAAATCAGTGAATACAAGAAACATAAAGGTAAATTTGTCAGCAAAGGAAATAAATAAATATTAGGACAACATGATTATATGACAAAGTGGCAGAAAATGTTAGAGAAGGAAGACAAATTCATACGAGTAGAATGAGCACTTACTGTTTGTTATAAGAATCAATGAACAGGTGATTAGCTAAAATAAACATGTAGATTAATCTACTTAACTCAACCAGGGGAGCGTGATTATCCACTTAACATGTAGAAAGCCAAGAAAGACAGATGGTGGAACTCACTGTTTGCACACATATCAGATTTGTATGATGACAAGAATTTGTATGCATGCATAGAAGAATTTTAATCAAAGAGCCTTAACGCATGATACAGTAACTCAATCTATCAAAATGAATTTGATACATTCTAATGTATCTCCTACTGGTGATTTTAGTCTCAACACAAACCTTTAAATAATTGGTTAATTGAATGAGTCACTCTTGCAAGCTAAAAATAAATAAATAAATAAAATAGTTGGAAATGAAATGAAAATACAGAACAATAAAACTCAGACAGAAAGCATGCAAATACAACGTTGGATTACACAAGTAAAAATTTTGCACATGAAATCAAGCCAAAATAAAAATAAAAATAAAATTAAATAAAGCCAAAATAAAAATAAAAATAAAATTAAATAAAGCCAAAATTATTAACATGCAGAATGAGGAACAATGATAATTTAACAAAATGGAATAATTATTAAGATAAATAATTAGAAGGAAGCAACACAGTTCAAATAACATTTCGTCTCAGTGCAACATAGTATAATCAAACACGGATATCCTGTTGCAAGCTAAACGAAGATGGAAACGGAAAATAGAGGTCGGTTATT